AAGTGCAAGGTGAATTGCTTTTTTGTTTCTTCTTCCACAGAAAATCCTTGCTACAGCAGAGGAGAAAGAGAAGTGTTTTTATCTGCGAGTGCTTCCTCCTGAGACACAGGAGAGGATCAGCCTGGGAAGAAATGCCAGGGATCTTTGCTCTCCCTGGTTTCACATGGCAACGTCTTTGTGAGAGAGACATTTCAGCAGTGAGGGTTTAATCATGCCAAACTTGATCAGGTGACTGTCTAATCTTTTTAAGAGTTTAGCTACCTAAATGCAAGTGTCTGAAGATATTGTTTTATCACCATTATAGCTGAGAAAATCATTCACAATAGATAATTTATGAGCTGCCTTTTGCTTTTGCCTCTTCATGAAGTGATTAGATAGTGCTCAAAATATTCATTAGTCAAGAATTTTAAATCTATTTCCTGGGCTTGGTCCTCTCAGGGGCCTCACAATTTGGATGTATTTCAACAAACCACTGAGTGTCTCCAGATTTCTGCCCATGAGCCATTCCGCATCCAGAGGTCAAAAATAGGTGAGAGTGGCCAATAGGTCAAATCATGGAGAGGAAATGGGGTCCAGACAACCAGGCTGGGGCACCATGGGCTCAGGCCAACTGAGTCCTGTGGGTCGTGCTGGGAAGTGCAACCCAGTAGGACACAGGTTCCTGAAAGAAAAAAAAATAACCAAGCACCAAAATGCTGCAACAAGGTGTATCACTTATAGCAACCCAGGCTGAAACTCAAATTTTTGCCATCCCCCCCCAGCAAGAGCCTTCTCAACACGCACATGGTGTGCACCGACTTGCAGGACTGTTTGCCAAGTAATAAGCAGCATGAAGGCAGCCAAACTGCATTCAGGAACAGGCAGACAGTCTGGAACAGAATTCACTCCATCTTCTTTGTGGCCAGAGGGAGAAATTGCCACAGGCAGCATTTTATTAAAAACATAATGCCAAAAAAAAAAAAAAAAAAAAAAAAAAAAAAAAAAAAAAAGGAAAGAAAAACCAAGCTAACAACCTAGCAGGATAGAGAGAAAGAATCAAGGATCGAGAAAGAAATTAATCAATGTTCCTCTGGAAGCAAAGGAAGCCCTTGGGCCCCAGTACAGCTGGCTTGACAAGAGGACAATATTGCAGGTGCTCTACATGTGGCCCAGTTTGTTTCCAGGTGCATTTGGAGTAATGCTGTCTTAGTGATTTTCTATTTCTTTTTTTTTTCCTCAGGAGCTGGGTCATGATTTTTCCGTCTTTTATCATTCACGTCTACTCCAGTAGCAATTTGGAATATCCTAGAAGGGGGTGGAATCCCCACTGTGCTGGAAATGATGTGAACTGGTGACACAGAGGCAGGCTGCACTGGGAAACTTCCTTATCCAGGACAGACCTCTGCAAGGTTCAGCAGTAAACCCAAGGACTGCTTTCTGCACAGCACAGCTGGAGCCTCCTTACTGTGCACCCTGGTGATAAAGTGCTGACCGACACGCTAATTAAGAGCTGCTCACAGTAGGACGTAGAATACAATATTTAGGATAAGAAAGGTGGGCAAAAGTCTTAACTGAAAAAATATTAGAAGTATATAGGGTACTTTATTTCAAGGATATCATGTACTTCAAGACTAAAAGATCTGTGGAATTTGCCTGCTACGTTTTTAAAAGACATTTGAAACACTTGCTTGCTGTGTTATGCCAAAAGGACTCAGACTTTGAGCCAGCATAAACAGGATGTCCGGGCCTGAAGATCTTTGCCAATACGTGGCCAGTGGTGGGGACTGCTGAGGGGTGGCCACTGCCACCAGTGCACTGGCACATGCTGGGGCCAGCCACAGGGATGCTAGGCTTGCCAAGGCTCAGCAGGGCACTGCTGGAAACCACAGAGGTGTGGGCAGTGAGCCTTTGCACGGCTGTCGGGAAGCTGAGAGCTGTTCTTGTACTTGGCAGAGGGGAGCTGGCTTGAAGGAAGAGCTGCTCACCTGTGGCTGTCTGCTGGAGAGGCACCTAGGCAAGGCCTCCTTCACAAAGCCCTCATTTTGCCATTTTTAGACTAGATGTGGCCACTCTCCTTTGCACACCTGACACTGCCTGTGTGTGTGTGTTGCTCTGTTCAGAGCACTGGGTGCCCAGAGAGGTTGTGAAATCACTGACATGCTGTGAAATCACCTACATGCTCAAAATTCCACACAAAAAATTCCATGCTCAAAAGGCCTTGAGCAACCTGATTTAAGGTGCCTGTTTTGAACATGACCCTGCACCAGATGACAAACAAACCCCTGCCAGCCTCAGTTATTCTGTGATTTTGCCTGACTTGTGAATGAAGACGTGGGTTCCTCTTTGAGGTATCCACATTTGAAGGTTCAAAAGGAGATACTCAGTGCAGCCAAGTGTGAGGGCCAGTGGAGGTTTTGGCATGAAAATACAATCCATGAAAAAAATGGTGATGTCTGGAGCATCTTGGGTGCCAGTATCAGGCACTGGTGGAAGGCTTAGATTCAACCCATGTAAAATTCAAGGTAATTTGAAGAGGGCAGAGGGAGGGATCTTGCTCTTTGTTTATGTGGTGCCTGTGTTCCACATATCTTCCACGGGAGGGATATCAGCTTCAAAAAGTGAAAGTTCTTTGTGGAGAGCAGTAGCTGTAAGGCACAAGCACATTCATCACACACTTCTCAGTGACACGGATTTAGTGGGCTGTCTTCTGGCTCACTTAAATATCAGCACCAAAATGACTGAGGTCTCACTATGGCCTTACCATAGAACCACAGAATCTATTAGGTTGGAAAGACCTTTAAGATCACAGAGTTCAACCACTAACCCAAAATTGCCAAGTCCGTGACTAAACCATGTCTGTAAGAGTCACACCCACATTGACACCTGAGCAATCCAGAAGTAGGAAAGCATCAGCTGTAAGCCCTTTCTCCCTCCCTTTTTTTGAGACTAGTGAAGGTATAACAGTGCAGGGGCTAAGGGGCCAGCAAGTTTGGCCATCTACTAATGCTGTTCTGCTGAAGGGCAGGGTGGAGACTAGGGGAAGGAGTCATTAACAGAGTAGGACACATGCACACTGGGCACACTGAGAGTGACATTCAGGCCCCTGGTGGGAAGGAATGGACTTGAATCATTTTAGGATAGGGCTCATTTTAGGGAGCCCTGTCTCTCGATCCTGGATGCTCCAGAGACGAACTTGAGTTGGTGTTATTTTATTTGCTCCAATAAACATTTGATTTATACAAAACAAGATGAAAACCCCCTCAAAACAGTTTACAAAGCAAGGTAAGTGTTTGAAACTTTTGATATACAAGAGTATATATTGCTCACATTCCTATTTCATACATGATGTACAGGTGAAATATTCCTTAAAAGAATAAAAATTATCCTTTACATGTAGTGTTAAAAAACCCCATAAAAACGTCAGTACTGTAAGGAACTACTGGTTGCCATTGCTTGACCTTCTGTGTGGATGGAGGAAGAGAAATGGGCCGAGACCTTCAACCTGCCTGGATGCACTCCCTACCTACATCTCCTACCTCTGCCTATAGCCCTGTGAACTTACAACATTCCATCCCTACAAAAACGAACCTCTAAGTTCCACTGTAGGTGTGGAGGTTTTGCCCCATTTTGCCTCCGTTGCTCTGTTTTAACATTTCTGAGCAGTTTGGTTAAAATAAAAAATAAAAAATAAAAATAAAACCCCAAAAACCAAAACCAAAAAACCAGTTACAAAACCATTTCAAATAAAGCATTTGCCATCATAAATCTTAACTCCTATTTGAATAAGCATGATTCCTATTGACTTGTATGGCAACATTTTTGAGAGAAGTATTGATGTTTATCTGTCAAAGGTGTTTCATAAATTACACCAGATACATCTGTCCAGGATTGGTTTGTGCTGTTGAATTTCTAACTTGTAGGACCTGCTGACACGCCATGAAGAAAAGTGGATAAATCACTGTAAAACACCTAAAGACAAAATTTTTAGCACTTCTTAAACACACATTGCTGTCATGTATAGAGGCCCAATGTGATGTCAACTGTCTCAAGCATTTTGGGGAACTGAAAGAATGTAAGCAAAGTCTGAAGGATCCTGTTGAAAAAGTCTTTGTTTTTGTTTTTGTTTTTTTTTTTAACTCTGTGAATTGCTGACTTGCTGAGGCAGCCCTTAATGCAAGCAATGCTGAGGGCAGGATATGCCATTAACGTATTGCTATGGAGCTTTCTCTCACCTCCAAGGACTTTTTGAAAAAGTGAAGGCACCAGCTGTTGCCTCTTACTTTAGAAAGCATGGAACAGAGTCAGGCTCTGGTTTGTCTAGACACACTGTAGAGGGAAAAAAAAATTTGTTCTTACAGCAACAAAATCAAGGTGAAAGACAAAGAAAAAAAATAGGTCTGCCCACACTCAGAATGCACAGCAAATATAAAACATCTGCTTGGATCGCTGCTGGCCCTGTCCTGTTCTGTATGGTTTGGGGGTGGGATGGGAGGAGGGGAAAACTCATCCTGCTGATATTTTGCAACCTGTTTGCAAGCAGCACGAATTCAAAGCAATAAACATACATTAATGAACTCAATAACAAAACACACATATGGGAAGGACCAAACCTGCTCACATGCCTGTTCTGGAACACTTTGAGGACTCTGGGGTTAAGATGAGAGGGAAAAGGCATTCCTGAACCTTCCACAATGTGCTGCAGACAGGACCATGCAAGTACAACTGCAAAGTCAACTTGGCCTGTCTGCTGTGAGACTGCTCTGGCAACTCTGAACAGCAGGACCACAGCCAGGTGGTCACAGCACATGCTTTGAAAGTCATCTTCTTATTGCATATTATTCCTGTTTTTTGGCAGAACGCTTAGTGCACAATTGCTGGTGTGGTGCTATACCAGTTTCCCCAGGCTCCTTCCCTAAGGGGTGGGATTTCTAATGCACTGGTAATTTCCTGGAAGCACTTTTTTTTTTTTTTAATAACTTTTCTTTTCCCAGGACATGGTTGTTTATAGATATATAGATATATATATATACATACACACACATTTATAGATATATATGTATATATATATATATATAAATAGCAATTTCATAGTTATATACAGGCATTAATAAAGTGCATAATGTTATTGGCTATTTTCAAATCCTTTTCCTGAGGAAGTGCTACCATATATAGCTCCTCCTACGACATGATGCTGGCCGCCAGTGCTAGGGTATGACTGCTACTCCCCCAGCTTTTAATTCCCAGAATACATCTCCCTGTCCAGAGCTGGAGCCTAAAGGGAGAAGCGACAGCCTCAGTCCTCCAGGAAGCAAGTCAAGGCACAGATCAAGACTTCTTCCTTTGCCAAGGTGAACACGTGTATAGGAGCGGCTTCCCTCCGTTCCGGAGCCCTCGGGCATGCGCTACTTGGCGGTGGTCACGGAGCCGTCTTCGGGAATCTTCTCCTCGGAGCAGCTCCTTCCCGAGAGCCGGTCGTGGTGCTTGAGCTCGCTGAAGCGCTCGGCCACGCACTGCGCCGTCAGCCGCGCCTCGGGGTCGTGGTCCCAGCACTCGATGAGGGTCTCACACACCATCTGGATGCCCTGCAGGGAGCACAGAGAGCAGCCGTGAGGGCGCCGGCCGCCAACAAAACCTCTCAGAGAGCTGCTTCAGTGCCCCCAGAAGTCTGGGGGTTATTTCATGTGTGTCCTGGGGGTTCTTTATGGGATTCTGTCAAGAGGGCAGCGTTTTCGGTTTTTTAAAGAAACCCTACTGCACTATGTTCAGCACTTTAGTTAGGACTGTCATTTCTAGGCATGTCGTCTGATATGTTCTAACAAGAAAAACGATGCTTCAGACAAGTGCTATAGAATCAAGCAGGGTTTTTTCTTAAATAAATATGACTAAAATTCTTGGATAATATGACCTCCTGCTTAACCCATGCCTTTGCACGCCTGTGTTCTGCTTGGGTTTTTCAAACAAAATTCTGATTGCCAGCAGTATTGGGCTGTACATCAGCTCTTTATGAATTCCTTGTAGACTACCTAAATCTATGTGCAAATATGGGCCACAGTCCCACAAACACTTAAACACATCACTCACAGTTGTAACTGTTTAACCTTCGTTTCAATTCTGATGCAAATGTTTACATGAGCAAAAAAGCAGTTGCATCTCTGTAATGAATTTTATAAACATGAGGTATTTGCCAGGAAACTGTTTTGCTTTATGACACTAAAAGCCCATTAAGTAGGATTTATCTTAAACTTATTTAAAAAAAGTAACATTTCACAACACTGCATTAATTGTATAATTTACCTAATTGGTGATGTTGACTGATGTCAATGCTAATAGCAGAATGTTACTGTCTGTATACAAATAACATTAGTTTTCTGCTGGCATTGAAATTACAAGCAGTAAATTAAATTAAATATTAAACATTAACTTGAAATCAATAGTGCAACAAATCTCATTAAGGGGGGTGTGGGGCTAATTTTAATATGTAAATCCATTCCAGAATTTTATCATGATGAATAATGAGTTCATTACAAAAACATGACTGCAGAGGAAGGAAATGAATATGGAAGAGCCATTACAGTAAGAATAACTTCTATGGAGTTCAAAGCAGATCCTCAGCTGCTGCAAACTCTCATAGCCCTGTGGAAACTGATGCATCACTGCATCTTAGATAGCATAATGTGAAACACTGAAGGGATTCGGGCAAAGAGAATTAAATACACCTTCATTAAATGTCCTCTAAGAGTGTTATCAGGCATCCATTTCCTCCCTTAGACTCTTAGCTGAACTCTGTTGGAGCCAGCTGTGCCCATTCTGGTGACACAAAAGCACAAGTGCATGGTCCTCCCAGTTGGCAGGGTACTCTCTGCTGGGGCAGATTGAGATGTGGGTTTTATACAGGGAAGAAATCTCTGAAGTCAAATGCAGGACACCTAGGTCTAAATCCATAAACACAGAGATGCTTTATAAACCCAGAGATGATGAAATGTGCAGTGTATCCTACAGTTCTACCCCAGCACCTCAAGCTGCAACTCTCTGCACACTCAGCCTCGCTGTCAAGGGTTTTTAGTGCTGGTAGTATCAGATATCCAGGCATCTCTCAAAATTCAACTTTGAATTAAAAGCCTCTCCTCAATAACCCTACTCTTCTCAGCTGAGTACATAAGGAGCAAGTCCCTGCAGTCCAGGAAGGGGCTGCACTCTGCTACAGTCATCAGGTGGCAGATGTTCTTGGTTGGGAAAATGACTGATTTTAGCCACTCACTTGGTCTTTTTTAAGTAGCTGTTAGACTGATTTTAACTTCCCAGATGGAATTAAAAAGGGAGTGTTACATTGCTCCTGATGGAAACAGTAGATGACATTCTTGGTTGCCTGGGCTTTTATAAACATTTGTGATACTTTCCTTTTGTTGCTAAAGCCCACTCAGCATATTTCATTGAAAAGTGGAATGACCAAGCCTTGCTTCTCTGATATGATTCACATTTTATCTCTAATGAAAAAACTGAGAGCAAAGGTGAAGAAACGCATATGCTTGGCTTGTTTCCATTCAGTTTCATCTACTGAAAAATCTGCTATTGCCTAGGAAGTGCAACCGTGGGGCTGGTGAGTGGAAGAAGCTGACCATGTGCTTTGTGATATGCAAGGGAAAGGGACTACTAATGCACAACCCGAATAAAACCAGACTGGCTTGTTGAACACTAATTTCATATTTCCTTAAACCTGTCAACAGCTGGGATACAACTATGATTGGTTTCCATGGTAAAGTACTGAGATTTGCTTTCTCTGCTGAAGTCCCTTTGTAGTAGGATGGTCTCCCTGGAAATGGGGTAAAATAAATTGAACACTGCCATGTTTGCAAAGCTACCATGGTGAATGGAGAAGGGGGTCATGCTGCTTTTGGTGTTGAATAATGCTGAAACCAGCCTGACTCAAAGTGAAATATCTTGACAGTGAGGTAAAGATGTGGTAGACTTGGTAAACTGCCCAACAAAGGAACAAATAAGTGATACTATTAATAACTCATCTAAAGCTGCTGAACTGAATGAGCTGGCCTGGAGACATCTGACTGACAGTCAAACACTTTATACTACGAAAGCCCAGTACCACTTTTTAACAACAGCATCTTCTAATGTAACTCTTCTTACAGAGTGTAGAGATTCCTCCCCTTGAGGAGTCCAATGCCTCAAGGTTACTCCCATGCCCTCAAGGTTACTCCCCGAGGCTGAGTGGAAAAGATTTGTCTATGGTTGTTGGCATGGGTGGCTGACATCAATCTTTAGTTAATAATTGGTTTTGCTACCTTTAGTACGGTTGCTTTAATATGATTGCCTCAATATTGCTTCATAGTGCACAGTATACAAGTAGTTCTAGCTCCTCTACTGTGCAGCTTATAACTCTGATTAAGATCTTTTTGTCTAGTCATTATCATAATAAATAATTTATATTTTAATATCTGGTTTGCCATCCTTAATCATGTGGGATAAAGTTGTATAATGGTTCAATTGCACCTATATAATCCTTAAAATGTAAACAGTTGACAAAATCTGGGGCTAAGACTGGATCCAACAACCTCTCTAAGATGGAGTTTAGAAAAAAAGGCAATCCTTTCTGTAACTCGTGACTCAACAGGAAGGCTTCTCTAATAAATTTTGTCTGAAGCTCCCATTCTGCTTGCAACAGAAGCCAATGTGTGAAGTTGTTTTCTTTGCCCTTTCAGAGCCTACACACAGTGAGCACTGCTTTAAGGGCCGAATTTTTCTGTGGCTCTTCAGATGATTGTTGGAGCTCAGGCTTCCAATGTTTTCTGTTTTGATTGCTTCTAGATTACTGGTGTGCAGCAGGAATACCAGGGCATTGGGGCAGGCACAGGGCAGAGAACTGTGGTGTCTGAACCACTTCAGCACCAGTGCTACTCTGTGATAGATTCTCCATGTGTGACAGACCTCTCCACGCAAAGAGAGGACAACCCAGCCTGTTGGGCAGGGCACTGAGGTAAGGCAGCAGTGCAATGTACAGTGCAGCTCCCACCGCTCACCTCTGGTGCTCTTACCTGATGGTTAAGCCAGGAGCTGGGGATCTCGGGTCGCCCTCGGTCTCTCAGGACATTGTCCTTCATGCTTTCCACACAAGGGTGTTCTCGCACTTTGGAGCCAAATGGGGGCTCGTACTCTTTCACCTCTGATAAGAGAAGAAACGAACACAGGGTTTTTAGCTGGGCTGTGCTGCTGCCGAGAGTGAAGGGAGCTGGCTGTCCTCTGAGGAGCAGGAGCTACTGATTAGCTGCTCACTGCCACTGTTCTGCTTGACCAGCTCCAAACAAAGCAAAGCCAGTTGGCATTTTCAAAAATGTTTCAAATGTGTTTCTCCCACACACTCCCTCCCCTCCCCTTTTGTTTCCTAGCCAACAAAACAATTCTCATTTAAACCCTTTAGTACATAATAGCAACAGTCCAAGAAGCAGAGTAATCTATAATGGTTTGTGAGCCTTTCAATCTCTGCTGAGGTAAAATGCACAGGACCTTTAAGGTGAGTTTTACATGAGCCAAGCCTTTGAAGAGTTGGTCACCCTTAGCTCTCCTGGAGTCCACACACACTTAACAGGTGAAATAAAAACTGAAATCTATATAGGTCATGGTAGATGTGAATGTGCAGATTGCTAGGATGAAACGGTTGCTTGGAAAGGACAAAGATACAGTTAAGGAGCAATGCTGGAAACTGTCATACTGCCCTTGTTTACTCCTAAGCTGCATTCTTTTGTAGAAAGTAGTAATCTGCTCTTATTTTAGATTTCCTTCCCAAAATGGATCAGTTTTGGCCTGTGATACAGGGGCACAGTTTTCTGAAGGGAATGCTGCCACTCTAGTTTTTGTTTGCATGTTGCATATTTTCTTTGCTTTTCTTTGGAGAGAGAAAGGAAGAGGCAGACATATGGGACCTTTGGAGAAAACTCAAGAAATCTCTGAGAGCGGAAATATTATAGTAAATGCTGACACAGTGTAGAAAATGCTGTGGTTTCTTTGGGAACAGATGGAGACTTTACTCACAGGCCTAATGACTTGCTGCTATCATAGAAAGATTTATGAAGCTGGCCCGTTCTGCTGCCTCTTACTTCTTTCTAGGAATTAATTGAGGGCAAGAAAAACTGAAGTGCAATCTACAAAGCAGTCTGGAGAATGCATGCAAATGCCCAGATGATGTGTGAACAGAGATGAACGAGTAGAGAGACTAACCACTGCTGCATGATGTTACAACCAAGTTCAACTGCAGTGCTCAGTGTTGCTCACTCCTATAAAGGGGTAAAAAGTGCCAAGAAATGTGAATAAGGATTGAAAGCTCAGAAGAAATGGGAAGAACCTCTGACACTTGGGTTTGTTTACTTTGGGAGAGAAAGGTAAGGAGGGGTCATATGATACTCGGCTGAAAATAAAAAATGATTAAGATAACAGATCAGATCCTTCTGTCATGTCTCATGACAAAAACAAGGTAGTATTGAAGACAACTAACTTTGGACTTTTCTCCAAAGCCAAGGCTGTAGTTCTCACTAGTGTGTGATGACCATGAGATGAAAACTTTATCAGACTAATGCTTAAAATGAATGGCCAAGTTACAATAACAAACATTTTGGAAGGGATATTAAACCTTGTGCTTCAAATGCTCAGCATTTAGAGATTCAGCTGCAAACAACTGTGTGCAGTGCAGCAGGTCACTCCATAGACGCCTCCTACAGAGCTCTCCTTCCTTCTTCCTAGCCATTTGCAGCTGGCCACTTTCCAAAAAATGCCCTGGAGAATGGCTATAGTCCAAAAACAAAACTCCCATCTTCTAAGACCAAGTGCCAAAGTCTGCTTTGCTTTCTTTCCTGTACAAGAAGGCAAACCAGTTTCACCCACATTAATCTGAGTGTGAGATTACTCAGCCAAAGTAAATTTACAAGACTCTAGCCCTAGAAATGAATTGGGAAGTTGCCATCTTGCTAGTCAGACCTGGGTTAGCATGCAGCAGATGCACAGTGATTATATTGCACATACCTATATGTTCAAAGCCAACAAAAATATTAAAGTTCACCAAGAGAATTTAAATTGCATGACCTAGATGGCCATTTCCTGCACCATCTCCATCAGTCATGGTTCAGTTGTGGTAGTGGTCATGGACAGTAGCCAAGGTTCTGAGATCTTGCAGGGTGAGGAGTCAGAGGAGTCTCAATGTCCAACAGAGGGAAGCTGGTGCTGTGGTGCTGACTTGTTCCCTCCCACTGATTTAATCTCAAGGTTGCTCAGGTTAATGAGATGGTTCAAGCAGGAGAAGGAAAAGCCTTTCCTGGGAATTGATAGGTTCATAATACATTTTTCTCTGTTTGAGAAATTGTTTGTAAGTTATGAGAATTCCTCTTCCAAATATAAAGATTGAATAGATTTTTCAGGTTTGGATCTTTTGTTGTTGCTTTGTTTTTGTTTATGGTAAAGAAAGAGAAATTGAGGTCAGATGCCAGTTCTGTAATGACTTTCTACCAATACAGTCTTGCCTTCTGTCAGCACTTTGAAAAGCATGCACCATCTTCTTGCTATTTATTATCATGCTTCTTTTTCCCTTGGAAAATAAAAAAAAAGCCCACTAAATCCTCATGCAGCAAGTCATCCTAATGCTGTGGAATCTCAAGTGTCAGACACATTTTGCAGTAATAGCTGGTGCTATTCATGGATCATGTTTACATGCTACAGTAAATGTAACAGATGTCAATTTGAGGTAGGTTAAAATGTTTGTGCCTAGATGCCTGTGTGTGGCTGTATACAGATGCTGACTCAGTTTCTTATGCCTTCTATGTTTCTTTTCATTGGTTTTAGACTGGTTGGGCACTAAAAATGACAACTGATGAAGTACCATAAATACGTCAGGAACCATGAACTACAGAACCTTTAGCATTCAGAAATGGCAGACTTCCTTCAGCTTTAACCTCTAGCATTTAATGTTTATGGTTGAGACCTGACTTGCACTACTAACTGCTGTACCTCTTTTGACATTGGCCTAACTAATTTTCAGAAAGGCTGAGATTGGATTTTTAGCCCCAAACAAGAGACATTACTGAAAATCTATCTGTTGTGTGTGATGAAAGCTTGGAAAATTTGTGGTCTTTTTCTACTGTAAGTTTTTTGCACTGAACATTTCTTTGGGTCAGAAAAGCATATCCACAAACCTTGTTGATACTCTCTTATGTGATCTGCCTTACTGATTTCTGTGGGACAACTTCTCATGCTGGATGATGAAATTTTATTTGCAGAATCAAAGCAGGAGTGAGGTGAAAAGCCAGCATATGTCAACTGTGAGGCACAGTCCACAACAGTGATCTTGCGTTTGGGAACTTCTAGGTCCCTTTGAAACACCCCTTTATTTAGAGCTTATCAGGGGGAAGAAGGGATAAATCAGTCGATGGTGGAGCTACTGTGACAGCTCATGCAAACACAGGTAGAGTCCTTCAGATAGTGTCTTTCTTCATACTAGAGGAATTTGGGTAGGGAATCTGCTAACTTGTACTAGTTGCACAAAGGGAAAATAATGCCCAAAGCAGAGGTCCAAAAGCTGTTTCATGGCCAAGTTAAGATGCTGACACAGTCACCCTTCTAAAGGTTTGGGAGTGCACAAGCCCTGCCATCAGTGTAGGCTTAGGGGCTGCTCAGTCAACACACAGTGAATCCTGAGCTGGGAAAGTAGCAAACACAGAGCATATCAGTGCTCAACACAGGCTGTGGTGCAGTGACCTTATCCACTGCCACATGGGCATGCTGAAGCACAGCACTTGCTACCTTACATGTAGCCCTGCGGTGACACTTGGAGAATTTCCAGGACATGGGTTCCTGTAATGGGGTGATGCTGCACTGTGGGGATCCAGCAGCCAGGGCTGTATGCCACGACAAGCCAGTGCAGTGCAGACATGCCCTAATTGGGCTCTGCTTCACACAAGGAGAAATTTAGATCAGCCCCCAGCTGCAGCCACCTCAGGGCCCACTGCACAGGCACAGCCCTGCTGTACAGACCATCTAATTTTGCTCCCTGCTGCCAGAAACGTCATTGCTCCACGTCAGTGTGATGAAAGCTGAGCATTTCATGAGGTACAGGATGCACAAATGTTTAGTTGCCAAACTGTGGCTCTTGTGACTCTTTCCAAGTAAGCATAAGATGGATCCTGATTTTATTCACATGAAACACAGCTCTGGTAAAGCAAGGCTGCCATTTTAAACAAAGCCCTGCTACTATACTCAAGTCAGCCACCACTCCAGGAAGTACAGAACTGCTCAAGCAACATTGCCATTTTCTGAGGGGTTTCTCTTCTCCCTCTTCCCCAAACCCGTTTATCCAGAAGTTCCCTTTCCTCTCCTTCTCCCCTGCTGCCCCCAATAGTCCCTCACCCATAGCAATTGCGATTCAAACCAGATGGTTTTCTTTTCTTTCTAGGAGGCTGTCAGAGAAATTACACTTGTCTCAGTCACCAAAGCTGTGTCACTCTGAAAGCAAGTGGTTGAGATGAAAATTATATTTCTTGCAATGTGCAGCATCTGGTGCACAGCTGTTGTGCTGAATGAAATACCAAGTTAACAGCAGTGTGGAACAGTTGAAGTTCTCCCCAAAGTAGTATTGCTGAGTTTCTAAATATGCCTCTTAAATTATACTCTGGTGAAAAATCAGTCAACCTCGATCTTTGCCTCTGTCTCCCTTTCCCTTGTGCCCCATTTCTGCTTCTCCATATTTAGCACAACAAAGTAACAACGAACAGCGTGGCCTTTCTCAAAAGCCGATCCCCACCTGCTTATTTACTACAGCAGCTTCCCAGTACGGGTTGTGCTGCTGGGTATTTTTGTTTAAATGTCTGCTGAGGCCTGAAGAGGCCTGGCATAGCACGGAGGCTGTGTTTGACAAAGCGTCTATAGTGAAAGGACCCGCCTGCATCACCTCCCACGCTCACCAAACACCTGCACGCTGACAAATGAATCCCGAGAGCTCCCTTTGAAAAAGAAATAAGTCCCTGTACCTCTACACGGGTGAATGGGAATTAGCCCCCCCTTCCTTGCATGCTTCCCTCCCTAAATAAAGTTGTTAATGCTGTTGCCTCAGCTAAGACTCCCACTCTTGTCCTCAAAACTGCCCCGAGCTGACACCACAGCCAAGCCTGCCCTGCAAAGACAGAGCCTCGATCTTGTGGGCTCCTTTGAAAAGGCTGTCTGCAATCAGGTCAGCCTACTCTGCCTTACATGCAAAAACATTTCTCTCATTGCCAAACAGTCTAGGAGCAAAAGAGGGGTTTTCGTGAGCAGAGGCAGCTCCTCAGGAAGGCTGTGAGGAGAGGAGGGAGTCTCACAAGTGACAGATGGAGAAAGAAAGCAGAGGGGGAGCTGCAGTCATGAATCACTGTAAGGGTATTTCACCAGCTGGCTGCAAAGATAACCAGACTGCACGAACTAGGGGAAAATCTGAGAAGGAAATGAGAGTAATGGTGCAATACTGTTGCAGCACAGTACCAATAACAAGTTAAGGGATCTGCATCCTGGGATTTGTGTTTAACTGCTTTAACCAAACATGCTAAGTGCAAGTTCCAACCCCTACAGATCTGCCCTAGTGCTCCTGGGGTTTTACTGGGGAATTCACCTCAAGAAAGGTGACTAAAATAGGGAAATAAAATTCAAAAAATATGTTTCTGGAGATGAGAATGACTGAGGGATGAAATGAATTGGGAAAATCAGGATGCGGGTGAGGGTTAAGCATCACTTGAAAGGGGATGCTGGGCCAGAGAAATATTTCCCTCTACTGATATGACTTCAGCTCTTCTCAAGGTAATAAAGGGTCAATCTCTTCTATCTGAACATGCTGGTGATTTTCCTTCCTTATGAAACTCCCTTTATATCCTCTTTTAGCAGTTGCCTTCTGAGAACAGCAGCAATAAGATTTGCTTTTGCTACAATCTTAATTTTGCCCTACTCAGCAAATCTGAACAAGGAGGGACCCAGGCATCATCAAAGATAAAAGACTCCACAGTGAACAGCTCATATTTATACTAATCAGGTGAGTTCCTAAGTGCAAGAAACAGAGACAGATCATGAGACAGGCCACAGTTCCTTTTTTTTCAGGTTTTAAATCTCCCCTGCCACATTTACAAAAGTGCTAATGAAAGGCTGAGGTTGTGCCAATGCACTTAGAAACAGGCATGACCATGATCCATTAAGTATGGATAGGTTTGCCTTGGAATATGTCAGACTGAGGTTCAGTTCCTGAAGCACTAAATGTTTTACCCTTAAATGTTTGACTAGGAAAGAATTTGGTGTTCCTTTCATGCTTTTATGCTAGCACGTTCAGCACATATACTCGCTTTGTAGCTTTCCTGGCAGGGTGCAAACAGGGGCAAGTCTGTTGCCCACAGTACAGCCCACCCAGCAAGACCAAATGCTGGTCAGACAGAGCAGGAGGCTGAGATGGAGGCAGTTCCTCCCTCCTGCACATGGACACTGTGGTGCAGCCACACAGTCACTGTGCATAGTGGCTTCAGTAACCTCCCTTGTGGCATCCCACAGATGCTGGTAGAGAAACAAGGAGCAGCTATGCACATCTTCCCCTGGGACATTGGTTTCCCTCCTGTACACTGTGTTCCTCATAGCACAGTGCTCTAGCCAGCAAGACTGTCCTGTCTCTGCATCTATGGCAGCCCTTCAAGGTGGAACCGGGCCAATTCCGATGAAAAGGGAACCTCTGTGGTTTTGGAAGAAGGATAACAAATCAAATCATAGTTGCATATCTACTATAATATCCACATTAGTGTTACCTTTTACAGTCTCACTCCTTAGACTGCCTGTGTGAGCCCTGAACTGTGCAGCAATATTTTTAGAATGATTCTTAGAAGATTCCAGAAGGCTGAAGAATTTTACATGCAACTTGGTCTTATTTTAGTTCCTGAAGTAAGGTGAAACATTTCAAACACGGCAATATATATTGTAGATGTCTCAACAGCAACTTTTCTGATTTCTGGCACATACTACTGTTGCACACTGGGAAATCCAGGTCAACTTTAGGCAAAGCCGAAATTGAGATTTTTGTTTCAGAAGAAACTCTGAATATGAACAAGCATAGCAGGTTTTCCTGGGCCTGTTCTGATAGTCAGTTCCAATAATTTCTATTTTGTTACTACACTTTATACAGCAAACACCCCTTGATTTCTCATATGGATGATCTCTTGCAAAATCACAAAGCATGATGTGCAGCAGCTGGTGATTTTGGGAAAACAGGAAATTTTCCATACCACTATGATGCCTCTTACTGAAATTATCAATTAGTAAATGTGACACTTAAGTGACCCTTATTAGGATTGAGAATTAGCATTCCATGAAAGTAAATGGGAAGCAGTTATCACTTCTTTGGTTTAATATTTCAAATTTATGTTTCCAGTTATTTTGAGTGAGATCAACCAGACTGAGTCAATCCATGGCTACCCAAGATGTCATAGGGAAACCACACTTTAATAATCTTTAGAAGTGACCTACCTAGCAGCAAATTTATCCTTACATCAACTGAGGATCAATTTACTCGTGTGCTCATTTGCTTGGTGCTCAAGCCTGCTCATGACCATGTGCATCTCACACTGCTGAAGGACTGTTAATTTACAGCATCGAGATACACTAGAAAACCTGGTGATAGTTAAAGAGAATCACCCTCTCCCCAGACAACCATGAGAGCATGTCTGTCTCAACATACTTTTAGAGACAAGAAAACAGATGGCACTTACCTCCAACAGCATTACAGCGAGATGTCATTTCCCAGAGGACCAAAGCCATGGAGTACACATCTGTTTGTTTGAAGGACTCCATGTTCTCCAGGTTCATCCTGGACTCCAAAACCTCAGGGGCCATATACCTTGCTGTGCCAACCTACAGGAGAAGAGATTGGAGAGAGCTCACAAGCTGAAATTGCAATTCATGTTTTGGATTCCACTGTGATTTAACTTCAGCTTTCACAGAAACAGTGCCATTTGACATGTATCCAGAAATTCAGGCTATACTTGGCACTGGTCGTATTTCCTGCTGCCAGGGGAATCTGGCATTGTCCTGACTACCAACTTACTTGCACCTCTCTTGGTAAGGAAAAAAATAGTCCTTTTTAGTTCCTTAAGCAAATAATTTTGACACTGACAAGTTTCCTCACTCTTTGGCTATTCACAGATAAACTCTGGCCTTTGAGCCTGAAGCAATTGCTGCTAACCAAGTGTCTTTCAGATGAGCAAGAAACACATTGTATTTTATTGCACAGCATATTAAAGTGTTAGCTGTTTCTTTCCATGGTAGGATTTAAAGGAGAGTAAATGAAGGCCTGGGAGAAGAAAGCAAACACAAAAATACTGAATGCAGTACCACACATTTGAATCGAAACCAAAAATCTGCCCCTTGAAAAATGTTTCTCATAAACTTTATTCATACTGAGCAATTTTCAGCAATGACTTTAGCAGCTTTGCTGAGATCTAGATATGATTTTGCGTTACACAAGGTGAAGTTTAAAAGTCTGCTTTTATCACAAGAAAGGATTTAAGGAAGAATTCTTGGATCACTCAACAGTTGCTCTCAAATGACAAACTCTTCACAGGATATAAATAACATACTCCCCTTGAAAAACTGCAAACAGAAGTCTCTCATCAGGCAAAGACAGCTTCAAGTTGGACACTAGTTAATGGCAGAGATGAACAAACACAAGTGGGTGATGCAGTAGGACATATGATTTAAACGAGCTGTTTACACTACAGCAATCACTCCAGAGCCCAGAGGCAAGCAGGGCTGTGAAAGATCATTTCAGTTACTGGGTCTGCAACTGCAGACATCCACAGAGTAAACGTAATGTCTTGAGAGAGCCCTATGACACCCATTTTATAAGCTTCTGTAAACATGTCTTATGACCTCAGGCTCAGGGCAAATGGGAAGATGTTCCACAAAAAGTGGAAAGTATCATAAGAAGAAGGAAAGATCAAGAACACAGCTTTGTCACAGGACCTTGCAACAACAAAAAATCTCTGTGTCAAAAATATCCGAATGGTTGTAGGATCAAAGCCTTTATAAAAAGAGGGCAGGAAAAAAATTCAGTGTGAGCAGTCTCAAGGTTAAGTTCTCTGCTACATTGACACTGATTAATTTAAGGCCAAGCATGTGAGCAGCAGCTATACACTGAAGAGGTACAAGGGACAGTCACATCCCAGCATCACTGAGGCGAGCACCAACTCCCTTCCATATGTAAAACATGCATATGGAAAGGCTGAAGCAGAGGTTGTTGCTACCCACCATTAACTCCCTAGCACCTTCTCCAAGCAGATCCCCATCCAAAGCTTAAGAAGGTTACCTGTACATACGGCCTACCCACAAACCTTGCTGATTTTAATAAGAGTTAATGATGCCTAGACACAGATCCCTCACAAAGTTCTGTTCTGGTCTGGCATTTCACATGCTCTTCACAGCAATGAAAATGATTCTGCACTTTTGCAGGACAATGAAGGATGAAGCCCTATAACTAAAATGCACAGAAGAAAGTGTAGAGAAAAATGGACTTGAAGAATGCTATCAATCCGATCTTATACCCATCCTGCTTAGAATTTATAATGTATTCCATTCTGCTTATGTTCTTTTATCTACATTTAGATTATTAGGTCTTTCAGTCAAAGACACTTTTTCTGTATCTTGAAAACAAGTGACTCCTGAGTCTCAAAGGCATTTTTAGGACTTAAACTCTGGCAATTCCAAGCTAGTTGCCCCTCTAGGCTCTGGATATGCTTTTTCTTTGTAAATACCAGTCTGCTTTCAGTTCTTGATTTTCTAAAACTCTAGCGAGGGACCATCTCTCTTCCTGCACTGCATTATCATTTTTTGTGACATTTGCATTTTTTTTTACTGGAGATCTTACATTTCTTTCAAGCTGTTGAGAGATGTTTCATGCCCTGAGGTGTATCAGTCACAGAGGCAGTAGATATTTCTCTTTATCTGATATGGTAAACCCTCTATTACAAGGGTGCTGATGCTGCTGAGTGAGGTACAGATCTGCTGGCCTTGCAGGCACCTAGCAGTCCCCTGAACAGAGTGGGAAGAAGGTCCAGAGTTATACAGTCACATTAAATAATGTCTGCAAATATTAACCATCATGGATGACCAAACTCAAAAGACTGCAAAGGTTCTAACGGGGAAAAAAGGTGGTTTCCAGCCTGGTATTGTAGTCAATAATGGTTCTGTCTGCCATTGATATGATATGGAAGGTAGTTGGGTAGATTGGAAAGAAAATGGCTTTGTAATTCCAACAACTTGCCTTCAATATTAGTGTCTAGGGATGACCAGAAAAACAGTTAAATACTTACACTCTTATTTATGTCACAGAAAGCTTGAGGTTTTCTTGAATTAAAAATTGGATCAGGTCCAATATATATGTCATAAAATTTAATATCCTGGTGACGAGGTTTTGAGTCAAAGGGTAAATTTTAGAAATTATGCATAAGGCAAATCTTGGTGTAAGACTTCTTTAATAAAAGCTATGCACTGAAGATGGTATGTTGGAGAATTAAAGTGGCTTGCTCTTGTGTGCCCAAGAAGAACAAGGCAGAGGTTGAAGTGGAGTCAAGTCAATTGGCTCATACTCCTTGTCACAGAGAAGAATGACACCACCTGGGACACTCCCAAACAGATTCACTGAAGCTAAACAAAATAAAACAGTCAGCCTCAACACCAGTGCCCAAGGACATCAACTCCAAAGCCATAACTTGATCTGGGCAGCCTCTGTACTTTGCCATCAGTGCTGGTGTGGACTGTGGAAGTCACAGTATCAATACTATCCTCCAACTTCCAAATGACTCTGAGCAATGTCAGAGAAACCAACTCGCAATAATGATCTGCTTTAAGCAAAGTGTCTGTGGGTGATGAATTTCAGAGTCCTTGTCTTGCTTCAAATGAGACCAGTCTTATGCCTGACAATCTGGTATGACTTCATAGAACTCTAAAAAGATCTGGCATGCTGGAGAGAAATCATATGTAACAGAGTGGTATTTGTAGTAGGTAAAATATGGCTCCACTGATAAACATTCACTCCTGGCTCTGGATAATAGATCTTCTAAAAATGAGATCAGGACAGTTGCTTTTCAATAAGGAGGCTTTCAAAGGCAAATCTTCATTTGATAAAACAACAGTAAAGTTCCTGTGAACTCAACAGAGCACTACAGACCGAAGATCTGTCCCTGAAAATGTTCTAAGCTAAAATATCAGTTCTGTGTGCGGTAAAAGTCAGTTTAAATGGACAGGCTCTGAGTGACCTAGGCATAAAAATATAAATATAAAAATACACATATAAATATATGTTTAATTAAACTATTAGGAATTAAGTTAACAAATTGTCTGAATTTATACTATGTGAGTTTTTATTAAAAGGGACAATATTTAGAGATATATGTAGTCTTCAACACATTCATAAACATCCCCTAGCATCCCTGTCAAGTAGATGAGTATTATCCATGCTACTTAGCTGAAAAAACACAACAGAGCAATTATTTTTATTTGACATCCTTGTATTTGCTTGCATGTGGAGAATGTACCATTCATTAAAGAGGACTCATTTTTTTGAATTTTAAAATTATTATCTATCAGTAGTCTTGTGCTTACAGCTTTTGAGGATACAAGACTGACTTCACATATGCTGGGGTGGACCAGGATTGGGTCAAGTCATGCAGAAGTGTAATGCCATCAGGCATGAAAACTGTGTCAAAACCTCACAACGTGAATCAGATCCTTATTGTATTTGTCTGTGTGTGTGTGTGTGTGTGTGTGTGTGTGTGTGTGTGTGCGCATTGCAGCAGCACCATGAACAGTTTCTGACAAGCTCAAATATGATTAATATAAGTGAGAGGATGGTTGCATCACACACACATGCAGATCTCCAATCATAACAAAACCTACATTGCACTTCTCTCATTGTTGCTTTAATGTTTAGAGCCTATTTGTGTATAAACACATTCACATTAATTTTAAATTATTTTAAGTCAAAGCTGCCATAGAAGCTTGAGGTTTTTCATCTTTTCAGCCCAGGAATGGACAGACCAACCGGTACATTACCCCCATTCCCCCACCTTCAACCTTCCAACTTACCTGCCCACTGTTAGCCAAGTCATCCACAGACAGGGAAGGGTCCAGCCTCAGGGATAACCCAAAGTCACAGAGACAGCAGGTTAAATCATTTTTCACTAGGATATTGGAACTCTTTAGGTCTCTGTGTACGATCGGTGTTTTGGGACGACCACAGGGTGTGTGATCACTGTGTAGATGGGCAATTCCTCGGGCCAAGGACCCACCAAGTTTCCAGAGGTCCTCCCAGCTGATAATGTGCCGTGTGAGATATTCCTGCAAGTTTCCTTTAGCATGGAAGGCAGTGATCAACCAATACTGTTTGCCAAGATCTGTCTTACGCTCCTCTGCTGTCAAGAATTGGAGAATGTTTTCGTGCTTGAGGTTTACATCTGAAAAAATGTCTTTCTCAGTTTTCCAGGAAGCATATTCTTCATAGGAGAAAATCTTGACTGCCACAGTTTCATACTGTTCTGATGTGTTTTGCTTCAATTTGGCTTTATACACTTCAGCAAACCTTCCTTTGCCAACAACAACGTCCAACTCAATGGGCAGCAGCTCTGTGTTGTGGTTGATGTTGTTGGCACACGTGGAGCTGATGTCTGAGCGGTCATCATCTAACATAATGGCACAGACATCACTGCAGTCCTTATGCTTCTTGGGTTTAACATTCTTCTCCCATGCCTTGTTGAGTTTCCTCTTCTTATGAGTGCGGTAGGCATAAAAGATAATAATCACAGCAACAGAAATCACCAGTAATGGGACAAGACTTATGATTGTGACTTTGGAAATTTCATCTTTCTCCTCTGGCTTATGAGGGTCATCTGTAAAGAACAGAAGGAAAGCATTCATGAAGTTATATCACAGTTTGATATGTACAGAAAGCTGTCAATAATTATAATTTTTATCCAAAATGCAATACATTATCTTCTCCACCAACAGCAAATAATAAAAATTGTCTTTGCTTTCTTGCTTCAAAATGTTGTTTTGTACGTAGGCCTCTGCTTACCAGGACCTCCCTGTCTGCTTACTTTATAAAAAGCCAGAACTGAACAAATAAGAACCTAATTTAGTAACTAATTTAGTAACTTTGTTCTTCTCTCGGGCTTTTAATACATAATGGATGAAACCTTCACTTTCCTGAACACAATAGCAAAGTCTCCTGTACTTACTCTGTCAATGCATTCTTGACAGAACTGCTCCTTTAACCACTAATTACTAGAACACATTAATTTTTCTATAAATAAACAGACAATGAAGCCTGTAAACTCCCACTTGCCCAGTTATTACTCTAGATGCAGTATATTTTAGTAGGATCCCTGCAAAACCATCCTCAGGTAGTCTGTTCACACACTGTATGAAAATATTTAGGCACAAATATATATGCTTGCATACAGACCCCAAAAAGAGAGCTCCTTCTCATGCATTGATGTATGTGAGTGCTGCTAGAACAAATTCAAATGTCTGCATGTAAAAAGACTCAGAGTGGTCACCACCACCACCCTCCAGGTACTTCATGGATTTATGTATCAGAAAACTTCCCCTGTGAGTTCCTTGCTGGCTGTACACTGCTTTTCTGCTGAAAAGAGGTTCACTTCAAACTCCATACCTAGTGCAGTGCAACATATTCTTAGGTGGAACATATAGGAATGTATATGAATAAGGGACCTATTCTAGATAGGGATGTGCTCTGGGAAGAGTACAGATTATAATCCTAGAGGTGAGAGCTGCCCTGTCACCTTTAAAAACTACCTCCTAGTTCAGTATTTCTTAGGGAAGATAACCAGTTTAAAAGGGAACGGTTTTGCTCCAAGAAGAGATTAAAGAAGGGTCAGAGTTTATATCTCAATCTGATTTGATTGGACATACAGAAATTTACTCTCAGTCTCCTTCTTCCTTCAAGTCAGATAAAATGTACTGTATCATCTTTGCATGAGGGAAGGGATTGTGTGGTAGAAATCCTGGGAGCCTAACCTGAATGGACTAGAACAAATGAAGCTGCAACTAGAGTTAAGCAAGTGGCCTGTGGTGGCAGCATGATGCTCTGGCAGATGCTGACTGCCATGTCATTGACTCGGTCTCTGTGCATCAGGCCACATAAGTCGATATGAATAGGCAAAGTTTAATAAGCTCTGAAGGGAAGCTGTTACCAAGTACATTAGCCACAAGCCTCTGTTTCCCCTACTCTGTGCCTTTCAAAACAAAAGTGAGCAATGCTAAAACGGATGAGGGTAAAAAGTTTACAATTAGAACACAAACAGCATCTTTGACCCTCCAATTTCACTTGCAATCACTTTTCCATTCTAAGCTCAGTTGGCAATTAGCAGGAGCCATCAGCTATTCAAAGGCAGGTGATAGGACATCTGAAAAGTATATTCTTTTTATTTGGAAGAAGAATTTATTTGAATCCTGAACCAGAATGTGCTTCCTCTGTTCGAAAGGTTCAGGAACCAGATGCAAGTGAGTAAATAAATCCTAGCCTCTCTTACAGAGTTTCAAGGAAGAGGAAGTGCCTTTCTAGCACTGTCATTCCCAGCCTAGCACAGGTCAATGACATGCACTAGCAATACCTACCTAAATGTATTTCCTTCCATTATGCAAAAGAACTTAAGGCAATCCATCCTTCCAGACCTATGCAAACAACAAATTCTTATTCTCCAGTAGTTTCTCTTGACAACAAAATGTTAGTAAATTTTAAAATCATTAACTTTAAAATGAGAACAGTACCTAAAAGTACATCACAGATTAAAGGCAACTCTTCTGCTTTTAAACATTGAAGAGGAGAAAAAAACCACTGTGTTTGTATGGCTCTTACGGAAGGAATATATTTAGAAATTCAAATGTCACTGTCAGTAAATAGATTTGCATTGCTTATTCCCTTGTGCATTCTTTGTTTCTAGAAAATCTGCTTTATTAAGAACTTGGGAAACACCCTGGTGGAGGAGAACTGATTACATTGTGGGATGGCTGTTTTGGAGTTCTGGCTGCAAGCAGGTGACTTGTGTCACTACTACGTGACACAAGTATGAACTGTAACCACCAGAGAAAGTAATTCTATTGAACATTTGGGGTTCTGCTTTGCTGGTTTTGGTTTGTTTCTGTTTTTTTCTTGATCACAGAAAAAGCATGCTTAAGTCTGGACTCTGCTCTTGGAAATGAATAATAAGTCATCTATATCATAGGGTACACTCTTTCACAAAGATGAAAATGTTTCTTTATGGCCTTTACAGTCCTTTTTCTTTGCCACAGAGCTGCAGTTTGTAGACCAGATATTTGAAAGACAAATATGTTTCAAAATGAGTGACAAAGCCCTAAGATGTATTAGTTATCTTTCAAATTGCTCCCTCTGAGCAGTTGGAGGTAGCTGGGTGCATGTTCAGCTCTAATTGAGGAGAAACGCACCCAAAGTTCCTGCTCCTTTACTGTTATGGCTACCTGTGTGAGGCTCTCCAATCATTCCTACAATGATCCTACAGTCCTAAAGCAAGCTGTATTATTTTGCTCTACAGCTGAGAACTCTCCAGCAGAGTTCACAGCTCCTTCAGCTCTTCCTCTTTTTGCACAAGAGAAAGCTCTGCTTGTGGTGCAGGGGGATTTCTGGGTAGAAGGGAAAAACTGTCGATATTGCAAATGTTACTTGAAAAAGAATGTAAAAAAATTTAATCAAAGCAGAAGCTGAGCGGTTTGGCCACTTCCCCCTGAGCACTGTATCATCCTGCAGCCCTGCTGCAAAGTGACACATCCACTTTGGCACCGTGGCTTGGAGGAAGCAGAGAAGCAGGGGGTGAAAAGCATACAGCTGCATAACCCCACTTAAAGCAGCAGGGACAAAGGCTGTGCTAATTTTCAGTATTTAAGACAACTAGGCAAATCCCACTCAACGTTTGGGAAATGCAAGAATGAGCACATATCAGGGAGAGCTGAATGTCAGGACTGACAAGGCTGAATTCTAAGCTTAGGAGGGGACCAAGCTGCCTGACAGAAGAATTAAAGGGGAAATTGCAAGAGCAAAGAGCTGGTGACACTGAGGTGTGCCCTGAGCAAGACATTTCTGGAACTGCCTTTGATTTTGCCTGATGATATGAGCAGAATCAATCAGCCATTGCAGCACAAACTAAGGATGGGGCACTTCTCTGCCAAATCAGGACTGGACCAAAATTCAGAGCATAGCTGTATATTTGTATAGTGGCTAGCCAACATTTTATGGCTCGACTACAGGAATCTAAGAATAAATATGTTCACTTATAAATAAATGCCTATTATGACTGAAACCTCATAATTTTAAAAATGGAGTGCAGCTTCCTCTTTCTGAGCACTGGAATGAGCAAAACCTGCCTGCACAGGCAGGCAAGGAAATGGTTAAATGAAACAGCCTTTCATGTTTTGCAAACGTGCTTCTAAATAACTTTCCCCACCCAGAACTATTATTTGGGTGGATCAGTCCTTTCTTAAGCTTCAAAAGAGCCTATTAATATAGCATAACAATGGAGAAGTTGAGCTAAAATAAAGCTTCCTGTATTCGGTTTAAACTAAGCACAAACCATCTGCATAACCCTTAACACTACCTAAGCCTTGAGGGAATAGGGCTCAGGTGCCAAGTAAAATGGAAACACTATACAGCTCCCCGTTCAGTCAGGGAACTTCAAAGCACAAGAGCTTGCAAATTCTTTAGGTTGGTTTTCATTCCTTTGATACAACTTCAGTGTCACTGAACTTTGGAAGGAATAAGTGAAACAATGGCAATGAAATGAGGACACACACTTGAATGGCAGGGCAGCAGAATGCCCAGCCAGTACTGACAGAACTACTTCCTCGCTGTCTGCTGCTCCTGTGAGCTCTAAAGCTGCTGCCTATTCAACTGCTAGTCAAAGCCACACAGCAGAAAAAGAATATATTTGATATTAGCAGAATTCAAGTTAAATGTATCGTCACTGATGTATTGCAAGCTTGTGCAGTGTATTAAAAATTCCCAGAAACACAAAGCCACAGAACATGGTCCCAGACACAGAACTGTGATCCAGTTATTTTGCAAGATCCCAAGACACAAAGCAGTCCTTTGAGCTGACTGGAGGAAAACTCCATTTTGTAGAAATTCTGAGGTTTCAAAGTTTGATTTGAATTCCACACTGGAATGAAAACTAACACTTTTTGCATGCTTTTGCTTGAACAGAATTTCTGTTCAAATGTTGCAATTTGGCAAGAGATGTATGTGAGCGCTGAATCTCCAGCAGTGAGTAGACTGGTATGGGTGGGGTACAGGAGCTTCAAGCTCAAGACCTGCTCTGTTTGAATCAAGGGAAAGCTTTTCACAAAATGGGAGTTTGAACCTTGCATATGTAGTGATTTCTGAGCAAGGCACAAGGCAACAAAATATGGAAAAGCCTGCCCATCTCTTTAGTATTTTCTGGATGAAAACTAGCTCCATAAAATGCTGCACTTTCAGTGAAATTAAATTTACTCTGAGCAGCTGTTTGGAGTAATTTCGTTTATCTCTACTGAAAAATCCTAAAGTGGAAATGAAATTCTGTAGCTCAGTGTCTCATGTACCTTCCTGATTCTGGCCTTTTTAGAATTAAAATGGCCTGGATATCTTCAGCAAAACATTTTTTGGTGGGAAATACTGATTTTTCAAAACAGGAACTCTGCTCCTTACTCTCCTGTGCTTTTCCCTGAAACCCCTATCTTGAGGACAAAAGTGGTCTGGAAGTTGATACAACTTTTAAAAACTTCTGTTAGTTTTACAGGCATTGTTCTGGGGGGGGTTGCAGATGGGGGATGGGGAGCTTTTTTTACTCAGGGTGGAGGGTGTTTCCTTAGGAAAACG